CTTCGACTAATAACTCATCTCTTTAAATAAAGATTACATGAAACAGACCCAGCACAGACAGAAGCAGGAACAACTAACAGAAACCAAGCACTGAGGGAAGACCAGGACTGGAATGGAGCCAGGGCGGTTTTTGTGAAGGTATCATTATCGCAGGGCACAAAAGCACCATGTTGAGATAAGGCTGGGGATGAGCTCCCAGCAGTAATCAGTCTTTCATTCCTGAAAACTCTTAAATCCCTATTGCAGAGGCTCTTAATTTCAACACTGAATTAATCATTTATCTAATCTAATGATAGGAGAAATCCCAGAGCAATTTTGTTTGAAAACTATATTGTCTTTACCCTTCTTCTCCTTGGGCTTCACGACTGTCCACATAATAACTATTTCAGAGCTTGACTCCTGGGCACAGCCCTCTGTTGAGATACCTGAGGCCTCGTAGTAGATTTCAAGATTAATAAACTCAAGTATCACCACAATTATCACCACATAAGTGTCTTATAAACTTTCCAGATCTACACAAACAAGAAAAAAAAAAAAAAGAAAAACAAAAAAAGAAAAGGCAGTTCCTCTAGGTTGCAGTTAGTGTTGCCAGTTTAACTGAGGGGCCACCAGCCTCCTAAAATTTTATGCAATTCAATAAAACCTTCATTTCCATGAGTACTGAAAGCTAGCCATAAAGTCCCTGTTCCCAGCAGACAGTCCATCTATGAACTTTCTCCCTGTGGTTCTCTGCTCCAGGTTCAGCCCAGGAAGGTACTCACTACGTGCCCGTTTCTCTAACGTAATCACCTTAAACTCTCATGTCCATTAAGTTTAAAGATCTTAGGACCATTAAATGGAACTCTTAGATACTAAGTCCCATATGGAGTAAATCTCTTTGGCAGTTTCTCCACTGGAAAGCTGCCTTGGATTCAAGGCTGATCTCTATCAGGATGAGATACCGACGTTCTTTATGCACTCCTTGATAATGGCGCAAAGCATATGCAGTCCTCTCAGCACAACGCGCAAAGCAACACAGGCATCGGTAAGCAGCTTCAGAAACAATTCTGCAAACTATAAGGAGATCTCAGAGGGAAACTCAGCTTCAGAACAATTTTATCTTTTAACAGCTTCCTAATCCCCTCACCCCACTCCTGCAGCTTTACCTTTTAGAGACAGTCACACCCCCACCCATGCCAATTCTTGCATCCAAATTTAACAACTACAAAAATAAAATACAAATGTGATAAAACAACCTTCACAAAAGAAAATAAATCAAATTTTCAAAAAAACAGCATTTTGAGGATAAACCTAGAGTGCCTGCACTAAGCCATAACCTCTTTACTGATGTTTTTTTCCTTCCCCTTAACAGATTCAGGGACTGTAATGACATTTAATCCTCAGAAGCTAATCTAAATGTAACACTCAAAAGAAGACAAAGACAACGCAACGGAAAAAAAAATTTGGCCACTGCCTTTTGGGAGTGCTGCTTTATCCCCGGAGCGAACACATTAATAGAGCTTGGAATGAAATGCCATTTTATTCTCTGTAGCGGGGAGGGGATTAGCAAGTTGTCTTCTCTAAACCCAGTCTGAGTCATGGCTCTATGAACACTGAGAAAAGGACGTGGAGCAAAGTGAAGGGCGGGGAGCACTGGCTTTTTATTTACACGCTGCTTCCTTTGTGGGTGGTTACTGATGTGCACAGCTTGCTAACCAGGGAAGGAAGGGGGAAAAAAGTTCTAGGTCCCCAGACTTTAATTCTGTTGGTTAACAAAAGAGAAAAATAATAATGCAGCAATTATAACAACATCATTGAGACAATATGTCCGTGGCAACTGTCCAATTCACCACAGCATGTAAGCAACAAGGGCAAGTTGCTTAAGGTGCTGAAAGCTGTGCTCGGTGCTTTCTTGTTGCTAGGATCTTCTTCCTGGGAGAAAGAAACAGGTTGGACAGAGCCCAGAACAAAGCAGGAGATGCTGCGGTAGGAGGAAGACGGAGACAGGAGCAGGCTGGGTTCAGGTGAAGAGATGAGGAACAAAATCCATTGCACAAGTCAGGCCGTGCAGGCATCAAGCCTAGCGTCCTGCCTTGAAGTAGAAACCAAGAGCTAATGACTGTGTCAGTGATTTTGTATGAAGCTCAGCACTAAGTACTTCACTTCTGTTTCTGTACAAAGGGAGATAGGAAGGTTTACCTGCCTGCCTCACAAGCGTGCTGTGAAGGGCCACTGGTGGAAAGCTTGTACAATATTCTTAAGTCCTGCAATGTTTGATAATCATTGAGGAGAAGAAATAGTCTGTGGAACACTTGACCACTTGTGCAGAGCTGTAGGTGTTAATAACAGAATTACAGAAGTCAATAAATGCCAAGAAAACATTGGGTTTTTTTTGTTTCAGATATTTCTTATTTTTGCTTCAACGTGGACTCCGAAAAACAGGGTACTTGCTGTGGACACAGCCCAGCTCTATTCCCCTCTTCCTCCATCAGCTATGCTGATATACAACGGCAGAAGACAACAAATACAGGGTAGATTGGTCTCGCAAGGCACAAGTGCCAGGGGCAGGTCAGAGTTCAGTGAAACAGGGATGAAATAAGGTGGGGAAGAGACACCCTGGGAAGGACACGCGCTCTCCTCTGCAGATGGAGAAAGTACCGCTCCTGGTTACACTCCTTTCGTTACAGGAGCTGCCGCAGTCCAGCACTGGAAGCAGACAGACCTGCGCTTCATTCATACTTTGGCTATATTCCAGTTCATGTAATTTTGCTGGAGTGTCAGTTTATTCCTGTCAACCAAGCTACCAGATCTGCGTAAATCAGTCTTACCTATCTTAGCACTTACTGTGCTTGCATGTCTAATACGAAGGCGCAAAACAGGATGAGCAAACTATTCTTTCCACTGAAGTCACAGGATCTTGTAATTTATTACCATAAACAGGCTGTAGAAAGGCTTGAATGTATGACACCTAACAAGAGGACCTCACAACACGCAGACTTCAAGTCCTACCAATTAAGCATGAACGCCAACGTACGAAGGAAGTTTCCGTGTCCCTGTCCCAGCCGTATCATGACCCACACCCGAGGCACGTGTACTCTTTAAGAGTGTTTGTACAGCATATTGTACACCAGGGCAACGGTCCCAAAAACGATCACTGCGTGCTGCTGGAAGAGATGCGTACGCTGCAGGCTGATGGGGCAAAGCAATGATTCTTCCTGCGTGTACAATTATCAAAGGGCGTTATCAATCCCAGTTCATGCACTCCAACACACAGCTCAGTGCAATCCTGGCTATTACTGGCAATTTCTGCTGTAAAGAAGTAGAAAGTATGATGTTCACTTTCTCCCTCAGCTTCACTAGTGCCACACAGCTTGTCCCTTCTCAAGGCATCCCCCAGCCACATTGTCTTTTCACACAAAATTCACATTAGGGCAGGCGTCTCTTTCGGCTGCAAGGAAGACAGCCTAAGGAATCTGGCCCTTTATGACAGCTCAAGTTCATATGGCCTTCAAATAGAAGGGCATTGTACAATACAGCCAGAAGCCAGGGACCGGCAGATGATGAAGGCTCAAAGCAAAGGGGAAGGAACCCCTAAGAGACCATAAACGCATTTTCTGAATCTTGAAAGAAAGAAGTCGTTGGCATTTGTATTGGTCTCGGCCACTAACTTTTATGAGAAATGGTGGCGTTCCAGAGTTTCCTACATTACCAGCCTTCATCTCCACAAGAAAACAGAAAAGACCAAATGAAACTGAAACCTCAGGAACCAAACGTAAGACTACCGTAAAAAATAGGTTAGTTACAATCCGTAGTAGCAAGTAAAGAACATAATCCAAGGTCCCAATCTCTTTCTTTACAAAGTCACAAGGATAAATCATTGCTACATGCGTTCCCAACAACTGATCGCACATCTGCAGAAGCAAATCCAAGAAAAGACTGAACTGATCAAAGACTGTCAGAACTTTATGTCCTATGAATTTTTAAAATTTTTATTTAAAAAACAGAATTTAGAATTCTACTATGGAAAACTGCATGAAAACACACGCAATGTGTTAGCTGCCTTGTTTTGGCTTCTTTAGCAACTTATTGCTTGACTGTCCAAACAAAAATGTGAAATTACAACAGGTTATGTGATGCTTTGGCAGCCAAACATAATTTTAAATAAAGACAGCACAATATACTGCACACCCCACTAACATATTCATCACTACTATATTATCTATTTATGCAATTAAGTATCATACAGTCTGGACTGGACCCAACTGGACTACATATGTTGCTACTCCAGTTTACTGCGTGTTGGCCAACTGTTTACCCAACTGAGATCCGCATGCTGCTCTTGACAGTGTAATTGCTTTGGACTCATTAATATTAAAGAATTATAGAAAATATTTTTTCTTGGACAGCTGTTAGTGCATGTGGAACAATAAAGCTATATAACACTACTGGCAAATACAAATGGAATTTAGACACAATTTAAAAAGACAACGTTAAAGGTCCACTAATTGTGCCAAGGCCAATAAAAAAAAGTCAGAAAAATCATTTCACCCATTCTAAGAAAACATTCATGATAATTACAGCTCTAGTTTGATTGATATTTACAGGGCTAAGATTTAGGCTGTTTACCTTTTTCCTCCTTGGACAATGAAAACTTTGGAAGGGGGGCCATCCTTCCTACTCCCACGCACTAGCCCAATGCTGCAATGTGTAGCTTAAACACGTTGGGTCAAAGTTTGAACAGATTGAACATGTTCCATTGCCATTTTGAAAACCCTAGCAAATATTCCCATTTAATGTGAAAGTCCATGTCTTCTCCCTCATTCTCCCTTTTAAGATCTAACAACTTTATACTAAATTCTGTCAAGCTTGGCACAGAAAGAGAGGATGCTAGCTTACAACTCCTCAGCCCCCTAAATACCCGACGGGAGGTAACTTTACACTCCGTTTACGGGACTATCCAGAGGCTACACGCAGAGCGTTCTGAAATGCAACTGCTGAAAAGAACAAAAACAGCTCCTCACTTTATCCACTCCTCTGCCTTGGTGGCTGCCTCCTGGTACTGCTCGGATGTCAGCTTGTAGATCTCTGCATTCTGAAACAAAGAATATAATGCTCAGCTCTAAAAATTAAAGGCGTCTCAGATCTTATCCCATCACAAAGTTATCATCTATAATTAATAACGATTTCCAACAACAAACAGCATATTCAGTTCAAAGAACACAAAAAATGCTTAAAAGTTAGTTTTCTTGTCAGCAAAGTGCATCAAGGCCACAACGTGCCTCCCTTCCGTGCTTCACCTTTGCGAAGGGAAGAGGGGAAGAGGTCGCTAACAACCGACCGTCAGCTTCGATTATTCCATGGAAGCACAAAACCAAGGTGTTTCCAGCACCGAGTTATTTTGAGTTAGGTTGTGTTTTGTTCTCTTTTTTTCATTAATTGCTGTGAAGGATCTTGTAAGTTACTGACGTGCAAGTATCAAAATTGGCTGCTAGCACTGGAAAAATCCATTTTACATTTCAGTGCTTCTACTTACGTTACTTATTCTTTAAAAGAAAATTATGCAGCCTGTTTCCCTTTTAACAACACAGGGAGGCGTATCAGGTATCAGTTAAGGCACTGCCAAACAGAGTCTGGAGTGTCTTGCTGCAGGGCTTAAGAGGTTTGCATTAAATTCTCCTGAGCTTGCACGGAAAGAGTTTTAGTTCACAACTGCTCAGCCGCTGAACATGGAGGATGAATTCCTCCTCTCGGCTGCCCTTACGAGCCTCCCAAGCACAAACAGCAGAAAGGAATGGCTGCGCACCCCCAGCGACTTCGCTGCAAGGTCTTGTGCTACTGAACTGCTGATAAAGCTGCTTTAGGCAAAGCCTCTGGACTTTATACTGAAATAGCTGCAATTGCCTCATTCAAAACTCATCTGCAAGGCCCTTAGTCTGAAAAGGCACATGCAGAAAATATGCAATAATCAATCAAAAAAGTGACAAAATGGTATTGAAAGCGAGGACAGCTATTCATTTAGGGCCGGTTCTAGCTGCTATCTCTCCCCAAATTTGGTCATTTTATATAGAATACTATTCTTGCTCTTCTTCATTTATTTTCCCATAAATGCAGCTGTGGTCCTGCGCATGATGAGACGCCACATATTGTTCAGTGGTTAGAAAAAGGAAAGGACAGATATAACTCAAGTTCTATTAGCGGTTCTGCCACTTGTGCAATCTTGGGCGAGTCACCATTCTCCATCTGCAAGCGAGGGATAACAGCTGCCTGTACCACTGAAGTTGTGTGAAGCTTAGCTAATTGGAAGGTTTATACAGGTTTTCAGAGCCTAGGCTTCAAGGTGCTATATTTAAGCGTTTTATCTCTGGAGCCTGAATTTATGTCACATACCAAAAAACCCACAGAACAGACTTTGCTTTTCCAAACTTTGACCTAGGAGACAGACTTAAACTGAGAAATCATGGATGAGTAACCACTTCAAAATGCATTTTGCCAGCAAATTGTCATTAAAGTTTTCATTTACTTACTTGTTACATAATGGTCAAACTTCTAAGCTATTAAACCCATTTTACTCCTTCCTATAATGAAAAGTTCAGATTTTAATGGAGCCTTTTTCTCTGTCCTGTAAACAGACCTCATGACTTTCAGCTCCCTGCTGGTACTTATTCACACATGAAACCACAAGACCTGTGCTTCATTAATTAAATTTGCCATTAAAAATTAAATAATGTGAATAAGTAGATGTAAGCGTTATCTCCATGGGTTTCATAAGTCTCACCGTTTCTCCAATTACTACCCAAGCAATTTTCATATTTCATACTGTCTGATTTCTCAAAGGGACTGGATTTGAGAGATCAAAATGAGAGAAAGTGGGAAAGAGAGAAAGCAAGGTAGTAAAATTAAACATTTTTCAGGCAATAGGAAGTAGCCCCGTCAGATACTATTAGCCTGCAGCACTCTGCAGTGAAACAGCAGCAGGAGAGGAAAACAGGAATGAGTATGTTGTACGTGAGACCCAGCATGAGGTTGGCATTTAACCCACCTAAAGAAAGAAAAAATAGCCAACAGACTCATTTACTGGTTGTCCTGTCGATTAAAGTGGCTGTGGCACAACCTTGCCCGGTTGATTAGAGAGAGTTCAGCTGCCCAGTACTCTGGTCAGCCCCATCTGCAACATCGACTCCTAACACGGTCAAAAATAACTGGGAAAGAAACCAGTATGAAATAGCTCCGGACCCTAAAACTGATGAAAAGCAGGCAAGTGAGAACCTGAATGGAGAGGGAAGAGTCTCAGTGAGGGAAAGGAGGAGAGACCTGACCTCAAAGAAACCACAGGGCACATGGCACGATGCGAAGATCAAGGAGGGGCACAGAAGACCTTCAACCCGAAGATGAAAGCTGCTGAGTTTTAAAAATGAAAAGGCAACATCTTTACATGTGATCCATCTGGGCCTCTTGCCTTTGAGTCAAACCTCTCTGCCTTGTTCCCCCACCCCCTCAAAAACCCTAAAAACCAATGAAGCAGTATTTCCAATGCTATGAATTAATATCTTTAAAAGCTTCCCCGAGTAAGAAAAACAGAGTTTTGCCATTTAAACCTGAGTTAGTTCAACAACCAGACTTGTTAAACAGGTTTTCCTTGGCCTCTAGGCCCTTTCATACTTTGAAAGTCGCGTTTGCTTTTGTCCTAAACACTAAGTGAGCGACAAGTGGGCTAAAGGAGAAACAGGCCTTTCGGCACGGGCACAGTCACGGCAGGATCTGGGATTTGGGGCTTCTACTTACAGAGAACAATTTTCCAAGTATCTTCATCTAGACTTCAAGATGCAAGATCTGCTTCATTTTCAGTATTTTACCCTGTCACCCTGTGGCGGGGAAGAATGTTCCAATGGCCTACAAAAAGGCAGGACTTTATAATAAGGTTGCAAAGGAGGACCCAAGCCAGGAACCAGCTACGTGGCTCCTGTGACTCCAGCAGAGCCGCCCACGCACGAGGGCAGAGCAGGATCAAGGTGCGGTATTTGCACTTGAAACAAAGCCTGAGCTGCCCCTGGTCTTCGTGAAGTCCTTTGGCTTCATAAAGCGATATTCAGTTGCACAGTAAAAGAGAGAACATTCAACGCAAAATTACAAGACATCAATGCTGCTTTTAATTTACTCTCACAATATTTGATGCTTGAGATAAAATGGCAGCTCACAAAAAGAAAGTTGAACATGAGACCTCAACTATTATTAAATAAAGCTCCTGGCAGTCTTAGTTGCAGAAATAAGTTTAAAAACATGACCAAAGGACACCATAAGGGCTCAAATAACAAGAGACACAGAAAGAATGAATGAACCACCTAAAATGTTTCACTTCTCTCAATAAAGCTGAGCCTTAGGGGAGCCAACTTCAGAACATCAGAGCTTTGTCATATGGGGAGAGAGCTCTCCAGAGAGGACAAACAAACTAAACAAAGAAATGTTAGTTTGAAAGATTTTCCCCTGCTATTAAATGATGGTTCGTAGCAAATAATAAAAACACCAAGAAGTTATAAAAATACATAACTAAAGCCTACAGACCAACAGAACCGCTTTCTTTTACCCTGCTGCTTTTCTACAACAGATTTGCTGCTATAGCCTTGCTCCCCACTCCTCCCAAAACACCCTTGCACTAAAAATTCCCCTTCCAGAGGGAACCGATTTTAAAACTTTGAGCTAAATTTGGAGTAAATTTTAATTCAACATTCCTCCTTGGCTGCAAACACGCAGCGCAACTCCAACACTCACTACTACACCTCGCTACACTGCCCAGGCCCCTTCCGCAACATATAGCAAAGAAAGTAAGAAAACAATATAGCAGAAGACGGAGTTCTCAGGGTTATTTCAGGAGGGAAAGTAATTGAAGCATAAAGAGAAAACCCTGCCAGCTCATTCTCACATTGACATTAAACCACATTCCTTACAACTTCAGTGAAACATGCGCTACTTGCAGTAACACGTAAAACAGAGCAACGCGAGCGTGAGGAACTAGAAATTAATCAGATTTGAGGCGAAATTCTTTGTGAACATCAAGCAGCAGCAGCAAAAACCTGACACCAGGACACAGATTTCTCCATCAGGTTCAGTCTGGGTCAATAGATCAGAAGGTGTTTGGATTAAAAAAACCAACCCCAACCACCATCACCACAGCTATCTTGAGATATTTTGACACCTCAGAGTATAGAAGCTTGTCAGTGGTCACAGTGCTTAAAGATACAAAGAGGATTAACAGCTGTTGAAATGCTGCCAGCCTAGATGAATGCTAGTGATACCTCTGATGAAACGGAGCAGGACAGCGGAGGCCTTGACAAATGCTGCAGACGACAGCCGGGGGATTAGATGGCACAATCTGCCTCGCACCTGACAGACGCGTTGCTTCGATCCCCTCTCCTAACGTCCGCGCTCGCCAGCTTCCAGCAAACCTCCCGCCACGAGCCCAGCACGAGCCGAAAGGAGCACGAGAGGCGGTAGCAGGGGGAACATGCGGTGTGCCCCGGCAGTAGGACACACCACAAATCGATGGATCCGCTTCCACCCGCTGGATCGATGGGCCAAGGCCAACTGTATGGGGTTCAACAGGGCTCAGCGCCCGGTCCTGCACTTGGGTCACAACAACGCCATGCAATGCTGAGGCGTGAGCCAGCAGGGTGCCCAGGCGGCCAAGAGCGCCAATGGCATCCTGGCTTGTATCAGGAACAGTGTGGCCAGCAGGACCAGGGAGGTGATGGTGCCCCTGTACTGGGCACTGGTGAGGCCGCCCCTGAAATTCTGTGCTCAGCGCTGGGCCCCTCACCCCAAAAGGCCATGGAGGGGCTGGAGCGTGGCCAGAGCAGGGCAGCGGGGCTGGGGCAGGGGCTGGAGCCCAAGGCTGGGGAGGAGCGGCTGGGGGAGCTGGGGGTGCTCAGCCTGGGGAACAGGAGGCTGAGGGGAGCCCTCATCGCTCTCTGCAACTGCCTGAAAGGAGGCTGGAGCCGGGGGGGGTCGGTCTCTTCTCCCCAGGAACAAGCGATGGGACGAGAGGGAACGGCCTCAAGCTGCACCAGGGGAGGTTTAGGTTGGATATCAGGAAAAACT